AAATGCGTTTATAAATTGGGGACAAATTTGTAAGTGAAAACTCATTTTTGGGTACATCCTCATTTGTAAAAAAAAATAATAATAATAAAAAGATATATAAAAATAAAGAAAATAAAAAGTACATAATTTCTGTGAGGGTTAGGGTTTTAAGTTGTAGTATTTACCATTTATAATTAGCTCAATATAAAAACAGAAGTCTATGGAACATCCCCATTTAAATCGCTATGTAAACGTGTGTGTAAACATACTTTTTTATTACATTGTTGTTCTTTAATAATTCGTCAGCCTAAGAACAATACTGTAAACTTTAGCATCACAAGTCAGCATCACCACAGCCTAAAACTGAGTGGAATATTTCAGTCGAATGCATTGGTAACTGTTGCTGTATTGTGACATGTTTTCAAGTTTCAAAAAAGTTGAATGTAATTGCCTACCTCTCTCTGAAACTATGCTCCTGAACTTCTGTCATTATGAAACGTTCAATTTCAGTAAATGTTTTCAAATCACATTAGATTTTCTCTTTCATAATTGTACATTTTCATTACAACTAAATTGTTTCTATTTGACTCCCATAATTACGGAAGTTCTAAGCGGCCATGCATTATTATTTTTTCCCCTTGTTTTCTCGTTATAACGACTTATTTTCTCGTTATATCGACATAACGAGAGTTGTTTTCTCATTATAACGACTTTTCTCGTTATAGCGACATAACGAGAGTTGTTTTCTCGTTATAACGACTTTTCTCATTATAGCGACATAACGAGAGTTGTTTTCTCATTATAACGACTTTTCTCGTTATAGCGACATAACGAGAGTTGTTTTCTCATTATAACGACTTATTTTCTCGTTATATCGACATAACGATAGTTGTTTTCTCGTTATAACGACTTATTTTCTCGTTATATCGACATAACGAGAGTTGTTTTCTCATTATAACAACTTTTCTCATTATAGCGACATAACGAGAGTTGTTTTCTCATTATAACGACTTTCTCGTTATATCGACATAACGAGAGTTGTTTTCTCGTTATAACGACTTAATTTTCTCGTTATCTCGACAAAGGTTTTTTTTTTACAATGATTGTTTGATCTACTGTTGTTATAGTAACGAACTCAATCTGATGGACAGATAAACCATGCGCTCTTACTGTAGCCTAGGTCGTGGATATTTCAGCAAATTTTGCTTCGCCTAGTAATAACGTCTACAATACAAAAATAAAGGCTGATCAATCACGGTTGATATTTCCAGAGACAGTACGCTAAACATGTGTTTGTGTAATTAGCATGTTTAAATGGTCAAAGCAACACCGCAAACACAGGCGGAGCGCCTTCAGGATGCAGAACTATTCTAAAATAGTTATGTCGATATAACGAGAAAATTAAGTCGTTACATAACGAGAAAACAACTCTCGTTATGTCGATATAACGAGAAAATTAAGTCGTAATAACGAGAAAACAACTCTCGTTATGTCGATATAACGAGAAAATAAGTCGTTATAACGAGAAAACAAGAAGCGAAAAAAAAAATAATGCATGGCCGCTTAGAACTTCCGTACATAATAGTCTGTTGGGTGATGCATAATAATCCTCTACATGCTAAACTCATATGTAAATATGTTAGTTTATCAGTATATGGACATTGTTCTTAAGGGGGGCTTCTTCCCCCATCTTAACTTGAAGACCATGAACAAAATATATTTAAAAATGTATTCTGCAAACAACTCCCAGAACCAATGTCCTCCTTTTGCATGCTAGTATTTTATCAAAAATGAGCAATCTGCAGTATACATTATGTATGTGTATTATGTATGTGTTACGAGTTCATAAGGAATATCTATTAATAAACAGACTGAACACATAACCCACAATGTGTTTTTAGGACACAAATACCCTCTTAAAAAGACAGACACGCTCTCACTCAATGGTTGAGACATTTTCTTTTATTTTACATAAAAAAGGGTGCAAACTTGAGTTTCCCTTTAAGAGTGGAGGGAATAAAAATGTAATTTGAAAGGTTATGTATGGAATTTGATATGACTCCTCAGGAAAATAGGCATTTTAAATAAGATTAAGACCTTAATCTTTCTGCAACTTAAAAACAAAATATATTTAGAGAGAGAGAGAGAGAGGAGAAAACAAAACGGGTCCATCACAGTTGAAGCCCTTGACAAAGTAAAATCATTGAAATACATTTAAGCAACATTCATATTTCAACACAATAAATTCATAATACAATGAAATTTAAAGTATCTTTGTAAGTATGACCAGAACAAGAGAATGACTCTTGCTGTACTGTACAATTCAGTTTTTAATATGTTTCGAAGTACAGAAACCTCCTTACAGTAAGAAACACTACAAAAAAAAAAAAAAACGTGAAAAAGACAATTCAAATATTGCAGTGCTTTCCTACCAGACTCCTGTAATATAATCATTCCGAGGTCATTAAAAATGAGCAGTTAACCACAACGGACTGTTCACTTAAAAAAAAAGAAGAAAAAAAGAAAAAGAAAAAAAGAAATGCTCAAGTTCCCACATTAACTAAAACCTTGAGACAGGAATGATTACATTTTTCAGAGAGAAAAAAAAGCTATGACTGTAGCAGACACAATGGAAGGGCAATACAGTATACAGCGGCAAAATAGTACGCAGTGGACATTTACCTGCTGAACTCAAGCGTACAGAGGGGTCAGACTTGCAGTAGCATGTTTAAGGCATTACGCAGCCACAGAATAACAGTGTATCAACTTCATGCCCACAATGTTCTTCAGTGCCCCATTTACAAGTAGTTTCCATTGCTTTCGGGAACCAAAAGCCATGCACATAAAATCTGCATTAATGTCACTAACGTCAACTTTAGGAGAATAACTCTATTTACCTCTCTGTATGTAAATCTGCAGCACAGTAAAGTGACCAGAACCGTGATACAAAAGCAAAGGCAATTCAAAGGAAATGGAATGGTACACAAAAACCTCTCCAAAGGACCCAGAATGCTTCCTGAACGGCCTGACTTTTGGGGAATCAATTGCTTTTGTGGAATTATTGTGTGTTTAAACGTCAAATGGATTTAGAAGGCCATAACACCATCTTTATTAAAACAAAACCTACAAAAAAGGTACAAAAACATATGGTACAATCTTAAAAAAAGGGGAAATTAAAGATTAAAATGGTTTGAAATAGTCATCACCTTGCAGTTGACAAGAGAGCCAGTAAGTCATTATGATCGCATTATCCAAAATTCCAGTAATAACGCCTGTTCTAGCCATCCCTCATCAAACTACTTCAAATAGCATACTAAGAGTGTGATTTCAGTGTAGTGTTTTACATGGACGAGTCATTTTTATCCAGCAGATGGCGCCTTAATCACCGTCCGCTCTTAATCCCAAAGTACATTTTACATCTGCATGAAGGACTAGCTTCCTCATCCGTTAATCCAAAACTAAACGATTTCACATTCCACTTATATCCGAAAAACAATTCCAGACGGCTCCGGAAAAAGCCAAGGCCTCCCACTTTGACTTGGGAAGAGCGTCAACAAGAATTAAGCGGTTAAATCCTGCAAAATCATACTCCTTCGAGCCAGACGCACCTGGCGACAGCAAGCAGTGCACATCCAGAAATACTAAATCGTCTTCCAACTCTAGCGAGGCACGTAATACATATCGTTAAGAGAAGAACATTAAATAAAATGCAGCCTCGACGCACGTGCGAGACAATTTTTCAAGAGTATTATTATTCAAGTACTTTTCACAGAATAATTTAGACCCAAAGTGACTTGCATCACAGTGGACAAGCATAAGGAATATCTATTAAATAACCGTCACATCAGAAATACATGGAACGCTTTTTTGCGCATTTGTGAAAACGGTTGGTTGACTCCTCTCTATAACCGCCAACCAGAGATTTGAATGCAACTCTCGTCCCTACACGGTGGAAATGGTTCCACAAGGTGAATCCAAAAAGGAATGGGTCAGTGAGAGCTCACCAAGTTACTATTTACATATATAAACGAGTGGAAACAGATGGCTGGATTACTCAACTGATGAGTTAAGAGGTGGAAACATGCTAATAAAGAATCTGTGGCCATTTGCCATATCGATTTGGTCCAACACGCTCATTTATCCACTGTTTTTGTAGGAACATTCAAAGCATGCCATCTGTAGGCCCTCAGGAGGGATTTCCAAAATACATAACGGGCATGATAGATTCTTCAAACAGCCTCGTTTACCTCCGTTACTTATGAAAGACGAGTTCAGAGGTCAGTAGCATACAGCAACGCACAGGCTGACGTAAACGTGGGCCTAAGAACATTTTAGTGCAGTCACACACTCCTATGGCTTCTCTCTCAACTTTTGTACGGTGATCAAAATAAAATAAAAGTTAATATAATTTCTTACATTAATTCACATTTGCTATACATTAGAAAGATAAAAACATGGATTTAATGCTGTGAATAATGAATGGTGAAACCAAAAAATGAGCAAGGCGACATCACGACTCGAGATTAGCGACAAAAAACGACGACAACAGAACTACAGTAATCGTTTCGCATATAACCCCATTTTACGTAATTCCTGCCTTAAGGATTGCGCTCAGGAAAGGACCGCCTCATCCATGCAAGAGGTCAAGGGCTGCCCCATCTCAGAATATGCTTATGGCCACTATATATAGTTTACGAACAGGCCGTTTCAATGGGTCTTCCGGCGTTTTCGGCCACATAATCCGATTTGTGTTCGATTTTGTTGATTCGAACCCTGTCGAGCGAGGTTCCTAAAGGGAATGAGACCCGTATCAGGTCAGTATGAAGGCATGGGAGGAGTTTCATAATGTCCTATTGCAGGTGGTATCTGCCGAGTAATGTTAAGGCATTAAATCGAGATGTTTCGCAGTGGCAATCACTACCGTCAGTCTGCGTCCTCCCAGGTTCCAGCTCACGACAACTACTAAAACAAGGAAACGCCTGCCGAATGGCCATTATTACATTATTTGCGGCATCTTTCACTTAATATGACCAAGTTGAGGTGTTTTCCAAGCCACTCTGGCACATGAAACGTTATTCTCATCCTGAAGAATTAGCAGTTTTCAGGCATAAAAAACAACATCTATTAGGAACTGGTCGTGGGAATAATAAGTGACTACATGGACCGAAAGATACAAAAGCGCAGAAGGAAAGTCTTACTGGCCACCTCAGCCAATAGAAAAGCAGCCAGCTCTACGTCAAAGCGGTATGATATCGTAAGAGGAGAAAGCAGCATGACTGGCTGGTGGGTTGAAGTGGGAGGAGTGCTTTAGAACAAGCAGCTTAAATACTAGTCAGTGGAACGGAGACGCGCATGACGAGCGCCGCTCATCGTTACCACTGGAAACAGCTGCTTATGTCACGCTTTCACAAAGTTCACGTGTAAAGGCCAGCTAGCATCATTACGACAGTTATCTGTTTTGCGCTTTTTGCTCATGTACGTTAAATCACTCCGATAGATACGACGAAGAAATCTGCTAGTCATATTCTAAGGCTTCGACCACTTTCTGGCAGCATGAGAACCAACAATCAGCCAACAACTACACAAACAAACATTTCAAAAGGGTTAAGTGAAATCAAAAAGCCACCGTCTCGTCTCGTGTGGAGTGGAAGTGGGCTGGGAGGTCCTCGGGGGAGGAAAAGGTCTGCGGTTCGAGCTCCAGCATGGGCGACTTTGTCTCTCTCCCTCTCTCTATGTCACACAAAGGGCTAGAACTGTGCCTGTCACGGAGGAAGAGGACGAGAGGGCACATTCAGAGACTTCCTCCCCAGCACGTCCACCGACGAGGGGAACGAAAAAAGAAGCAAAACAGCAAAGGAAGTGCAGTGCTGTTTCAGTGCTTTGAGATCCTAGAGACAGTCTGAGGATGAGGCCCGTCGCTGCCTAAATTAAGATGTGGAAGAAAACAAACGAAACGAAACAAAGACAATCCCCACAGAGACAACGTGTGCATTCCTCGTACATCGGTCCCCAACTCAATTGGAGGGCTCGCTGTTGTCGTCTTGTAAAATTTCTTTATTTGAACGCTCTAAAAACAACCAAAGGAACGGACTGTGCGGAGAGGCCGGAGGTTCATTTGTGCCGTTGAGTGTTCTTCTTCCTCTTCCTCTTGAAGAAACAGCAGCACCTGAGGACAAACACACAGGTTAAGGTTAGAGATGGCAGGCAATTAGCTTGTTATTCCAACCTAATAATGAAGCATCTGCCCTCTAGCTACACATGCGCCGTCACTATGTAGTTGCCTTTGTAAATCTTAAATAAAGCAGGTATGTGGGTTACGCTTCATATTGTCAGCGCTGTCTATAATGCATTAGTATATTCGTACCAACCTAAATGCTACATATAAAAAGACAATAACTGGTCAAAGTTAATAAAAAGGAAACTTAAAGACATTTAAGTTTCATCAAAAGCATCAACAACAGAATGTTAAACAGCAACAACACGACAGAATGGGTCAGGGAAAACAAGGCACATGCAGTGGAAGAGAACAGCTCCAGACTGACACATTGAAAAGTGATAGACTTCACTAAACATGTTTCTAATGGATACTGCTAAACAGCCAGTAAATCCGATGGTGAGTAACAGGCAATCACTGGCTGTATCGTTTAGGTACACTGCGGTTGTTAATGAAAAGTCATACTGAATATGCAGTGTCCTGCAAAAACATGCAGTTCCTTAACCAAGTCTGCCTTTTTACTAAATACTACACTGAAATTACATTCTCTGTACTATTTTTAGTTAGGAACACTTTTTTTTTAAAATCACGTCATGAACAATTAAAGGGATAGCTCAAAATGAAAATGCTGTCATTAATTACTCACCCTCATGTTGTTCCAAACCCGCAAGTCCTTTGTTCATCTTCGGAACATAAATTAAGATATTTTTGATGCATTCCGAGAGCTCTCTGACCCTCCCATAGACAGCAAGGATCCTTACCTGATCAAGGTCCAGAAACGTAGCAAGGAGATTGGTAAAATAATCCATGTGACATTAGGGGTTCAACCGTAACTTTACGAAGCTACGAGAATACTTTATGCGCAAAAGAAAGTTAAAAAAAACTACTTTATTCAACAATTCGTCTCTTCCGCGTCAAGCTGGCGCCATTTTGGAGAGTATCTACTGAAAGTAAACAGTGTATGCTGTTCTGTGTCAGCTGCGTCACGCGGATACGCTGTTTTCGTTCTGATCAAAGCGTAAACTACGTAAACAGCGCATCTGCGTGACACAGCTGACACAGAACAGCATACACTGTTTACTTTCAGTGGATACTCTCCAAAATGGTGCCAGGGTGACATGGAAGAGACGAATTGTTGAATAGTCTTTTTTCTTTTGCGCACAAAAAGTATTCTCGTAGCTTCGTAAAATTGCGGTTGAACCCCTAATATCACATGGATTATTTTACCGATCTCCTTACTACGTTTCTGGACCTTGATCGTGTTAATTACATTACTGTCTACAGAGGGTCAGAGAGCTCACGGGATGCATCAAAAATATCTTAATTTGCGTTTCGAAGATGACAGTCTTACAGGTCTGGAACGACATGAGGGTGAGTAATTAATGACAGAATTTTCATTTTCGGGTGAACTAACCCTTTAATAATGGCCAAACAGCGAGAAATTAGTTCCTAAATTTAATACATAGGGTTAGGGGTTTATTAAAAAACAGTGTAAGACCTAGCAATACTTGGTTTGCCTGAGAGATTATGACCTTCTAACAATATTATTGACCATATTAAAAATACATATTGAAATACATTTAATTTAATAAATGAACTAAATAATCTGAAACACTGTTCAGATAATTTCAGGATGAGTCAAAGACATGTTAAAATTAAATTAATATGTAATATTTTTTTGGGGGAAAAAATTGTGCAGCAACATGCTACTACTAAACAACTTCATGGCTGTGAAATTGCAAAAACTGAAACAGAATTAATTCTGATTATGACAACCAATTTATATCAAATAAAGTTACTAATGTTGTGGTATAAAATCTGAGACTTAGTTAAGAGTCTGCATACTTCTGTAAGGAACTGTATATGTTCATTTAACCTCTACATCCTCATTCCATTTGATTTCTGTAAATAAGCTAAAGCTGGGCTATTAAAGACTTCTCAGTGTACCTCCAATCAACTTGATTTTATTCAACTTTAATTTTAAACTTTAGGGCATTTCAGTCTCTCAAATCAGACTGAGCAAACAGACCTCCCTCTTTCTGTTTCAAACTCACAGACCACGAACAGCTACATTAGCCTACAACTATGTAAGTAGATCTGGGTGTAAGCGTGATCTATATGGCCACAGTCTAGGCTGGTCCACTCCCCTTGGGTTTGATGTGGACTGGAGAGAGGGACTCACCACAGGTTGAGCATTTTCACGCAGCTACAGAAGAGTGAGAAAAGACAGAGATTATTACACAGAGGTGAGACGATGAGACAAAACTAATGTCGGCGACAAAAGACCAACAGGAAGACACAGACAGAAAGAGAGAGAGAGAGACAGACTCAGTGGATAGTGTAGATCTAAAACATCTGCTCAATTCATGGTCACCTTTTATTAAGTAATATCATAATAAATATTTTATGTATCCCTGTTTGTAAAATTCTAAAACAGATGGCCAACAGAAAAAAAGAGAAAAAGGAGTAGAGAAGAAAAGGAACAGAAAGGGTTTGGAGAAGTGTAGTGTTGTCCTCAGCTCACCAGCCCACCGCTCTACTAGTGAATATAATACAACATAAACATGCTTCAACCTGATCAATGGGCCTCTGCCACTATAAAACATTTGGTATGACGGTTTTGTACAAATTAAAAGTACCTAAAATTCCATCAACCATGGTATAAAAAAAATCACAAATTTCATTAGGTTGTTCAAAAGTTGTCAAAAAGCAACCTCATGTAATAGGGAGAAATCCAGCAACAACAAAAAATAGGTTACATTTAAATATATATATAAAAAAAATTTTGCTTTGATTTTTAGCACAAGACTTTTGACAATTAAAAATGTTTTATAGCACCATGATAATGCAAAACACTTCACAACTTAAAATAGCCTTTAATGCAGCATTCAACAGGTTTCGACAGTTTTACAGCTTAAAATGCAGCTCCTTCAATCAGAATTATAAACCAAAGCTATGTTTATAACACATTTATAATTTAACTGTGTCACTCAGTAATGATAGCATATGTACATGAGATATAGAAATTAGATAGTAGATCGTAAAACTGTTCTTACAATCTTGGTTATTCAAATCCAATAATATTAAATATTTTAAAGCTCACAGGGTTTAGAGACATGTTTTTGAACACCATATTTGTGGTTTAAAGATATATATATATAGTTATATATATATATATATAACTAACTGAATGCATCTCACCGGAAAAGTGACAATGCCATTTTTTTCATCTCAGTAAAATTATTTTAATGCTTGTTTAATGCTTTCTTAGAAAATGGAATAAGAATGTTTGTACCTATGCTCATGAAAGATATTTACAGGATGTAACTAATTTAAAAAAAGCATTAAATAAACAAAATCCACAAACAATCCATGACTTGGCATCTAGTTGGAAGACACAGTCATGAGCTAAGCATGGGGCATAAAACAGATGCCAAACACTGATAGTGTGAAGCCCTGATGACGATTCTAATTTTTGGATGGACTTTCCTTTTAATGTAATGTTATGTAAAGTAGAAGCTGCTACTATAGCTCAAGTGGAAGTGTTCTATCATTACAGGCTGAATCTTTAAATAAGATATATAACTAACTGAATGCATCTCACCGGAAAAGTGACAATTCCATTTTTTTCATCTCAGTAAAATTATTTTAATGCTTGTGTTTAATGCTTTCTTAGAAAATGGAATAAGAATGTTTGTACCTATGCTCATGAAAGATATTTACAGGATGTAACTAATTTAAAAAAAGCATTAAATAAACAAAATCCACAAACAATCCATGACTTGGCATCTAGTTGGAAGACACAGTCATGAGCTAAGCATGGGGCATAAAACAGATGCCAAACACTGATAGTGTGAAGCCCTGATGACGATTCTAATTTTTGGATGGACTTTCCTTTTAATGTAATGTTATGTAAAGTAGAAGCTGCTACTATAGCTCAAGTGGAAGTGTTCTATCATTACAGGCTGAATCTTTAAATAAGGATACGTAACAATGCTAAAGCAATCAACAGGTTGCTATATTCAAGAAACAAGGAAATGCAAAGAAGAAAGTGATCAGAGAGATTAGAAGAAAGACCTCTGGTGAGCATTAATACTGTGAAATAACCATGGCGACCTTGTGTGTTTGTGCAATCCTGTTAACTGATAAAGGCAGTCTGTGCATCAATAAATCAAAGACAGAGGGCTTTTTAAGATATCAAAGAACTACAAGAATAAGTGTTTCAAATTATATCAGACAGGACGTTTTATATGACAAACTCAAATGCACATCAGGTGCTTTAGAAGAATAGGAAATTACAGAGTGTAACAGTTGTCTTTCAAAATACCGTCTTTAAAAATATAAACTACTAGTCAAAAGTTTGGAATTATGAAGATATTTTATGTTTTTGAAATAAGTCTCTTATTCACACCGAGGCTGTATTTATTTGATCAGAAATACAGTATAAAAAATATTAATAAATATTAACATGAAATATTACAAGAACGGTTTTCTACTTGAATATATATATTAAAATGTATTTTATGTATTTCCAGTTATGGCAAAGCTGAAGACTGGAGTAATGGCTGCTGAAAATTTTGATTTGCAACAGAAAATAAATAAATTAAATATAAAAACATTAAAAAATAATTTGAGAACAGTAATATTTCACAATATTATTGTTTTTACTGTATTTTTTTATTAAATAAATGCAGCCTTGGCGAGTGTAATAGACTCCTTTCATTAAAAAAAATCTATTATTCCAAACTTTTGAATGGTAGCATTCATATTTCATTCAAAACTAAAAAAGTGCAAATAAGAAATGAATAATTTTATCCAATATAATGTTCCATTAAACATTTTGGGTACACAGAGCACTACAGGGGAGCAGATGGGAATGGATCAGAGAGGGCAGGGGTGAAATCATGTAAAGAACCAGAGTGCTAAAGGACAGCTTGTGTCAGTTAAGATGCAAGGCATAGACAACAGAAACCTGTGAGAAGCTATGTGCACATACTTGGCCTCATCCACCACCTCCACTTCTGCCTGCGCTGTGATTGGTGCGTTTGAGTGGGCCGCCAGCGGGTCGTCTGCATTCAGTTCACCATTAGTTGAGCTCACCACCTGTGGCAGAAAAGAATGAATTCAAATCAAATCAAATTATTGGGTGGCCTCAGTGTAACAATGTTATTTTAATAAGAGAGTTCAAGAGAAGCTCTTTAGAGAGAGCAAAACTACTGAAAGGCAGTAACTGAGGAAAATCATTTACTACCATACTTGCTTATGAAAGGTCAAAATATTCCGGGTTAAATGCAACCTTAACTTTATAACCAACTGAAAATTATTTCAATTTCAAGCTTATGAAATGATAAATGATTTTCACAGAACACATCTTAAATCTATTGGGCTAATTCTTGTATTGCTGTGTGTTTTCTCATTGTATGTAAATTATTCAAATTTCTTTAACCTAGAATATTTAAAAATACTTTGGAAAAAAACGTAAAAAAAAAAAAAATACTTTGCTACCACCAGTCAATCTAAAAAATAATAATATAAAATGTAGCCATAGTGATTTTCATGCTATTTAAAAAGCCAATGTTCCATTATTTTAGTTGTCCGAGTCTCACCAGATCCACTAATGTACAGAATCGAGAGAAAAAAAAACTCACTACTCTTCACTACATAACACTTTCGTACAGTAGCTCCCAAAAGTATTTTCACTCTTAAGTCACACTTAATGTAATACCATTTGTTTTTTTATTTTTTGTCATCTAATATATCTTTACATATTACAGAATTTCCCTCAGTTCAATAAAGAAGCCATCTAAATAAGTTCTAGGACTGTCAGCAGCATTTCTCAGTCGCCTACTGGAGGCACCTACTGGATAAAAGTGAAGCAAGCAGCGCAAGGTGGTGAATCAGCATGTTTGGCGCCATCTCAATCAAATACATGCACTGAACTGTGCTTTGTGTACTGTAGAGTGCGAGAGCTGGCGATACTAGGCCCTAATGTCAGCTGTACCAAATTACCACAACAGGGGTTACAAATAATCTCAGCCTCTGTGTGACATATGCCATGTTTCATTCAATTCAGAAAGTTGGAATTTACACCCTCACACTCAGAAAAGTGATAGAATATGAAAATGTCACATTTCCAACCTCCTACATGGAAAATTCCAATAGAATGCCACTTGACAGCGTTCTTCCAACTTGGACAATGGAATGCTATACGGTTAGAATTCGGAAATATTAAGGTTGGCATATCCCACACTTTGAATGAAACACAGCATTTCTAATTTTTTTTAAAGAAGAACAAGAATTGCCGAACAGGGGAACCCATAGAGGAAGTGTTCTAGAGCAGGTGGGGTGCACTGCTGCAGATGGCCGCAGACATGAGTGCACACAGGAGGAGTCGTCGAGCGAGGGGTGAAGCAGTACCTGCACTGAGCCTCCGTGCCTGTCCGCTGCCAGGTGCGAGGTCAGGTAGGAGGAGTTTGTCTGGCGGTTGGGCTGCACCTCCCAAGCTCCTCTGCGGTCGGAGATGGCCGTCTGTGCGGATGGAGGAGGTGCGGGAGTAGGCACAGGAGGGGGGAGGTGTGGTGAGTGAGCGAGAGCGGGCGGAGTGAGGCCAGGTGGCATGCAGCACAATGCAGGAATGAAAATCAACAAGAAACAAAAAGAGCCAGTCAAAGCCAGGAAACGGCATTAGTGACTGTGGACCAGTCGTCCAATCAAACCAAGAAGCAAACACCACAAAATAAACACAAGGAGACATTAAAACAGAGGAAACTCAAGAGAAAACTTTCTGAAAGCCAAGTGGACACTACATGTAGCAAATCAGGCATCCAACACTGAGTTCCGACTGGAATATCTGACAGCATAATTTCAATAATTAAAAGGATATTTTAACCAAAAATAAAAATTACCCAATGATTTACTCACCCTCAAGCCATCCTAGGTGTATATGGCTTTCTTCTTTCAGATAAACATAATCGCAGTTACAATAAAAAATGTCCTGGCTCTTCCAAGCTTTATAATGGGAGTGAATGGTGGTCAAGATTTTGAAGTCCAAAAAAGTGCATCCATCCATCATAAAATGTACATATGTCACGGCTCTGGAGGGTTAATAAAGGTCTTCTGAAGTGATGCGAAGTCCTTGTGTAAGAAAAATATCCTTATTTAAAATGTTATGAACCGTAATCTCTAGCTTCCGCTAACTGTCGTAGACACGTTAACGAGAAAGTGGCGTTCCAGTGGATGACTTAGGACATAGATGTAGCATAAGCTCCGGTGAGACATGACGAAGGGAAGTGAGGAGGAGAGAGCAAAACAAAACACTGGTCACAAATTATAAGTACAAAATGAGGATTTGTAAAGAAAAACATCAGCAAAACCAAAAACCATCATCGGTTTTCCTTTGGTTGGTTCTCACAACACTAGCATATTCTCACCGGAGCTTACGCTATGTCCTATGTCTTCCTCTAGAACACCACTCTCTCGTGTACACAAGTACAACAGTTAGCAGAAGCTAGAGATTACAAAGTTGATAAAGTTTTTATTTTACTTAAACACATCAATTTGCTTCAGAAGGTCTTTATTAACCCCCCGGAGTCATGTGGAGTACTTTTTATGATGGATGGGTGCACTTATTTGGGCTTCAAAATCTCAACCACCATTCACTGCCATTATAAAGCTTGGAAGAGCCAGGACATTTTTTTATTAAACTCTGACTGCATACATCTGAAAGAGTAAAGTCATATACACCTAGGATGGCTTGAGGGTGAGTAAATCATGGTGTAATTTTCATTTTGGTGAACTGTCCATTTAAGATAACTAAAATACTATCTACAGCTATGTTTCGCATTGAAATTCAACCTGATGGCTCATATTCTGCCATTTATAAGTGGACAAGATGGAATTAACAAAGCGCAACACATTCTGAGTCAGACAAGAAACACAAGGACAAACATACAAAAAAAAAAATCAAAATTCAATTTCTGAAACTGCAGTGTGCAGTATACAGCTTCAGGACAACCCCCTCGTGAATCACTAGTGTGAATGTGAAAGTGTTTTGTGGTGGACACGATAGTTTGGTAGTGTGAAAATATAGCGGAAAATATCATAATTCACTTAATTACTTTTGCATTTAGTGGCAGGATTGAAGTAACTTAAAAGATGTGTTTATTGATCCATTCATTTTAAGCAGAGATATTTTTTTTTTAGAAGTTAAGAGTCCTAATCTCCTGTTTCCTAAATTATAATGATATTAGGAAACAAATAAATAAATATATAATAATATATATAAAACAATATATATATATATATATATATATATATATATATATATATATATATATATATATATATATATATATATATATATATATATTTATATATT